GAACTTCCTTGATATCTTATCGAGGGTTGACGATGAGCGAGTTAATTTCGAGTGGACGTAGGTATAATTCGCTTAACAGGGAGCTAGCTAGCCCTGTAGTTCTTTCTGATCACACGCCGAGTTTCCACCAATAACGTTAGGTAATGTTTTCGTAAAAGTACTAATGTCCGATGTGAATCCGCTGAAGTTAAATGCTTTGTAATGTTCAAAATTATGAACGTTCCTGGTCAAATATTTGAAGTTCCCGATTAATAAGTGTTTATCACAATTATAGCTTACGAAGTTCATAGCCCACCAAATTACAGCAACCCAATAATAGATACGGTTTTTTAGGCGCGTCGCGTTGGTTATATTTATAGGCGTGTGAACAGTTTCTCGAAAATTCAGATTACGTATCAATACAAAGCTACACTGGCTTTACGTACACACATATATTGTTGATTCTTACACTCGAGAATCTTCTACAACTTTAGAAAATAGGCGGGAGTTTCGCAATACATATTTAACAGTATACGTCATGTACATTTCCAAATATAAATCTAATTAAAAAAACATCGATATTAAAATAAATATAGAATAATAAATCCGTCACAATATACACATCTATATATATATTGAAGGTATCTTCAAACGTACAGTTATATTTTTTGCCTTACGAAACATTTAAAAATGTTTATTATAGTGAATGATTTAATTTACGAGAATGCATATGCATCTTTAACACGGGAAAGTCTGTTTTCAAGAAGTTATTTTACTATATATTACATTCTTGGTTAACGTTCTTATCACGTAATAAAATTTTATCTAATTTATCATAGTAAAAAAAAGATTATTGTGACTTCTTAAAAATTAATAATCAATAGTCCCTTTCTTTGTAATATTATATTTAAACAATTATTCGCGCTTGCAAGTTGTGGTTCTACAATGACACACGAACGATTACCAACAATTATAAGTTTAATACAAAACCAGTTTAGTAACCATTTAGATTATTTCGACTTCCTTTGGTTCAGTTAACAGTCATTATAACTTTTATTATTTAAACATTTTGATTGAGCAAAGTTGTGATAATTTAAAAGCATATTTGATTATATACAATTACATTCGAATGAAAAAAATCCCTGAATTCATTGGCCTTACCCAAGATATTATTAGTATCTAAGCATTTTTGTTGATAACTAGTTTCGTTACTTTAGGTAATTACTTGAAATAAATTATTAACACGTTGTTTAATATATCCTAATAATTACATATGTATCTCCTGATTACCTGTTAATTACTGTAGGTTGATGTGAAATTCTAGTATTTGTTTCTTTCTTCAGTCAGTTATTTCGTAGTGGCACTCCAAACGGCAATGATCAATCATCCAATCATAGTAGACGGAGCTCAACAAGTTGTGATTTTGATGACACGTCTTTGGAGGAGGATGTCCTAGATCTTAATGATAAAGTAAAAATGATAGCTAGATAGATATTTCACCATTTTCTACAGATTAGTTAATATATATTATTCGTTATGAAGTCTTAATCTTGATTTAAATTATTCAGAATTATATGTATATAAAGCACCATATCTTTACACGAAAATCTCATGAATTATTTTATGAATTAAAAATATTTTAAACTTCTACTCTAGAGCAGTGTTTCTCAACCTTCTTTTGCCAGTGACTCCCTTTTGAGTTTGATTTATCTCTGTGGCCCCACCATTCGTAAACGCTGTTACTTAGGAAAAAAGTTAGTTTATTTCCACACTGTTGATTCATGATATATTTATAATATTATTTTTACAATATTGTTTTGTTTTCAAATATTTTGTTTATAACATACTGTTTACTTATACAAGTAAAAATATTCTGTTAATTATTGACATTTTATTCACTGTGATCCTTGGGCCTGGTTAACACATGAAAGTTTTTGAATGTTGGGTTGTAGTGTTGTCAGTGATAAGCGAAGATCACTTCTCTTCACAACATCAAACCGGTTACGTATTTTTGATAGCAAATAAGTCACCCGACTAAAACCAGATTCAACCAGATAAGGTGTGGGAAAAGCGATAAAATACAACTTTGCCTTCTCCCAGAGCTGTGAAACTTATTAGCTATTTCACTACTTATACAGAAATAATGTTTGTCACGCTTGAATCTAGCTTGGAGTGTTATATCACTCTGCTGCTCTTGAGAATCAGTCGAAAACATTCACAGATACCAGACAGACATTTTGATTGTTACTCGAGTACCAGTCGCGTCTGGTAACTTGACTTCTGAGCTGTGGGGGATACGGGGAGAAGGGAACCTTTTATTCAATTTTAAATTTTAAATATTTTATTCGGGCAGTGAAGTTTCGGTGGCCCACTCAGAATTTACTGTGCCCCCCCCCCTAATTTTCCGTCATGCACGGCCCCTTAGAAACATGGCGTGGCCCACATTAAGAACCACTGCTCTAGAGGCCGAAAAAAAAATTCTAAAGCTTATGAACTCAGAATTGTTTTACAAAATATCAATCTATTTTTTCCTTTTTTCTAAGACAGTGTGAAATAAAATAGACGCATTTTAACACAAAAATGTTTGAAGTTTATATTGAAGTGTTTCAAAATCGTATTTTGTTTTAGAGAAGGAAGGAGACAATTTTTAATGTCTTTCAGGTGCAAATACTTCAACAGCAAGTAACAGATCTCACGGAAAATCAAACAAATAACGATGATCGTTATTCTAAAGTAAAGCAAGAAAATTCCACTCTCATGTCAAGGTAAGCGCTAAGCTTTACATATATAATGATTTGTTTGAAGTGAAACCTATTGAACTTACTATAACAAATGATGAACAATTAGAAGTTTTAACTTTATGTTTGTTTTCACTAATAATTTTAATATATTAGAATGTTCTGATTGGTTAAAAATGTACAGTAACCAAACTTGTAAAGAACCGTGAAGAAATATTATAACTAATTTCGGTATTAGTCCTTAACATATTTAATCCACATCTGTTTTGAAACAACATTTTTCTAAACTATATATATACTAAATTACTTTTGGGCCAATGACATTGTTGATTATAGGATCTCTAATAACATATGAGTCATACAAAAATTAAACAAAGATACCGCTAATACTGCAGTTAATTTCACTAATTACTGGTGGGATTTCTTCTCTTTTGCATAAAAAAATCGGCGATTTTATTCAAGGTTTTTTTATTAGTTATTTGAAAATGAGAGTTTTAGCAACGGGAAACATAAAATTATTCAATATGGTGCAATATGTGGATCCGATCGTTAGTGACTGGTTTAATAACAAGCTAGTAATGTGATGGTTAAAAAACACAGTTGATCAAGAAAATATTAGTTAATAGTCCAGGACATGCTTTCCAACATTACTCATAATTCGCGCTATTACTACAAATGAATTCAATTTTATGATACTGAGAAATCTGCTCATGTTATTGGATTTCTTGTTTTGGAATTGCATTTTAAACAACAGTTTAATTTAACCAATATCATTAAGAGCTGTATACATTTTACGAATAAAATTTTGCTAATTACAAATACACACACACACACACATATATATATACAATGCAAAATTTCGTTATCTTCCTTTAAGTTTTATTACTTTAGGTGGCATCTACACTTTCTTTACTAATGAGCATAATAATTTTTATTTCGATATTACGTAAGTTTTCTACTTCTAATTTTTTTGTATTTCTAAAACTAATGGGTCATATTCAATTGTTTAAAATATCCTTATATCTTAAATAAACAAAACAACACAGTTTCAGATGGCGAAAGCTCAATAAATGACATCTTAAAAGTTTGGCTTAATGTGCGTGGATAAGTGCATCACATTCGATCACGATATCATCACAACTTTCATAAATGCCCTAAATATTAATTTCCTGGTAAAAAAAAAAGAGTTACAGTTGAATATCAGCATGCTGCATGCATAGTCTTTCAATAACGAAATATTATACTGTTGCGTCAGCGAGTCACATGACTACTGTGGCGCCCTCTAGTTTATAGAACTATCTTGTTCTTTCATGAATGCTCTAGTATTTACTAGATAGGGTAGTCTGGTATATATAAGAGGGGGAAAACGTGACGCGGGAAGGTAATGTAATGTGTGTGTAGACAGTGAGTAATTGAACTGCAGTCAGAGAGCACGAGAGACGTTACAGCGTTTGTTTAGCGCGATTGTTGAAGTTGAGTGTATCGGTAAAGTTATATTCGGAAAGAATAAACCAGTTTTATTAAGAAAGGACTTGTGTCGTTAAGTTTCGACGGAACGAAGTTACGGAAAGTTAATTAACAAACGGAGACGTAACAATACGGAAGGACGAGTCTCTAATCAATACTGCAATTACTTTGTCAACTGTTGAAAGCGGCCTTTGGTCTCAAAAAGTTGTGCAGAAACATTCTAGCGTATTCAAAACGTGATCAAATTAATTATTCACTTCTTTACCTATCGATCGTTCTAAGGCATATAGTATTTAAGAAGTAAATATTAGTTGAAAAGTATACGTTTACATGAACACTAGTTATACATGTTACATAGTAGTAAATATACCTCGCCTGTGCCGTTTTTTATATTAGTTAATATAAACTCTTTTAGAAAATTAAACAAGATATTACAGTTTTGTCATCAGGGGCAATGCCAGCTTCTTCCCAATGAAGAGGCTTAGGTAGGAGAGACAAAAAATTGAAGGAGCTGTACTCTAAATCTTGTGGGCACACATACTGTAGTATCAAGGATAACAAGCTTTAACAATAAGCATTGTTCGTTGGGCGTGTGGGCTACTGGAGAGGTTAAAGCACCTTTTGGGGTAGCTTCAGCCTTAGCAAGACCCCATTATCGCTGTCCCTGTTTGTCATTGTAAAATTACAGTAATATTAACTTTTTAGCACACTGTGTAGAATGCTTTTTATTAATCAAGTACCACTACTAGTACTGTAGGATATGATTTCTAATGTGATAAGAAAACACACACACACGTACACAGAGTTTTAAAGGATATCACGGCACGATACAAAATGCAAAATAAAATACATATACATTTATAATCTGAATGCTTGCTCTAAATATGAAAAAAAAAAAATGCTTACCCAACTAGGATTCTTCTTTTTGTGCCAAACCACACAACGGCGCCATAAGCGTATTAACACTGTTTCAGTTGCTATAGTAACCGACGCAGTTCGTCTGAACGACGTCAGTTTTTGAGTTTAACACTGTGCAGTGTACTTCAATGTTCATTGGAACATATTTTGACTTGAAACATAATCATCGTTCGTGAAACCTGTACAGTAAGCGTAGAATTAAATATTTCAGAAACGTATTCATGTAGAATATTAATCTTGTAAATTATTTAATTCGATTATCTGTTTTAATATTAGGTAACCACAACTTTTAGTTTTAAAAATAACGTGTGTTTCACCTTAAGGCTTAACTTCAAAAATATTTTTTTTTTAGTTTCATCCAACGTAACAGATCAGTCGTGTATAGATTACTGCGGCAACAAATAGTAGTGGAATTATTTTCAGATGATACACTCATACAGTTTGCGAAATGTGGAAAACTTTATTTACAGAGGAAGATTGCTTTCATTATGACAAAAATTTATGTTCTTGAAGTAATTTATAGGGACTATCTTTATAAAGAATTTGAGTAACAGACCTAAATACATAATCTCTGTTAATTTTCAACAAATTTGCAGAATACATTCTTTGGAAGAGCAGATCAAGGAATTAGAACTTAGATCAGAAGATAGAGTTAAAGATGAAGAAGCACGCATGAAAGAACTAATGGTAAACATTATTATCATAATAATTTGAATAATCAAATTTCAATTTGCTTTACTATAGGAGATTGTTTGAGTATAAGCCTGATAATAAGATAAAACTGTTCGGCTCGTGACCCTGGATTTCGCCGAGTACTTCTGTAGCAAAGCTTACTGTTTACTATACATTTCGGACTTCAAATGTATTAAGAATTTGTCATAAAATCATGTTTTAGTTTACATTTTTGCCAGATAGAGCTTGTCATTGCATTGACATCACAAATCGAGAAGGTTCCTGTAATATGTAGCAAAAATGATACCTAATAAATACCGAGTAACTAATGATGAGTAAGTTAGTTCAGTACCAGTCAGTCAGTCATTGTTAGTATTAAAAGGTATACTATTAGGTTAATCATTAAGTTACAGAACTTAAGTTTTTGTTTATCTATCAAAGATAATTAACTTAGGCGTACGTCTTGTAGTTTATATTGAAACGTTGTATCTGAAGTTAGGTCTGCATTTAGTTGCGGAGTTTATGTTGAAAAGTGTATTTATTACATTTGGCTTACAAGTGTTAGTGATTGTAGCAAACGTTTATTGAAAAATTATATAATTATTTATCGTTACGTGGACTGGACCTGGCATTATTTTACCACAAATAATCCAAAAGAACCCATCCAACAATAGAACACGTTGCATCATTTATGTCAGAAGTGGTATTATTTTATCACAAAGCGAGATAGAAACTTCACTTGAGGTGTTGAAACAGTTAAAAGACAGTCAAGAAGAAAGAAGCAGAAAACAAAAAGACCAAGAAGAAAGTGACAGAAAATTAAAAGAAGAAAAAGAACAAGACAAAATTATAAGAAGAAAGATACACGAATTTAAGAGAAGAGACAAAATATTTAAAGTATGAAGAAAAAATATATCTGATTGGAGATAAGATCTACAAAGCTATTGGAGATGTAAAGTGGAATTACCAGATTGAAGAAGTACAGCCCCCCAGTGGCACAGCGGTATGTCTGCGGACTTACAACGCTAGAAACCGAGTTTCGATACCCGTGGTGGGCAGAGCACAGATGACCCATTGTGTAGCTTTGTGCTTAATTACAAACAAACAAACAGAAGAAGTACAGAAAGGCTGTAATGGCAAAATAAAAGAAGTACAAAAAGTGATCACTGAGAACGGAACATAAAATTATATTGGTGATAGAATAAAACATGGAAAACGAATTGGTAAGTGCAAAGATTAAATCAACTTCACCTCTTTCTGAATTCCAACATAAAACACCACTTACTACAAACTGTGAAATAGAAGAACCCATTTGGTCTACACCTATTACCACTACTGCTGTGCCATCTGTTATTGCAGAACCTTTTTGGACTACTTTAGCCATGTCTCTACCAAATACAGTTCCAGAATTTAGCTGACCAATTCAACAACGTCATGCAGTTGACAAACCAATAGACTACGATGAAAAGGTACCATGGGAGGCATATCAGTCTCAATTCGAAATAATTTCCAAAGTGAACAGGTGGAATAGTGAACAACAAGCTATTCATATTGGTGCCCATTTAAAAGAACCAGCTTTAACGACTTTCTGGTACAGGATGCAGAGTAAAAAAGAGACCTTAGCTGAACTAGCGGAAGATTTGGAAAGGCTTGCACAACTATCATATTCAGAAGCTCCACGTGGAATGATGGATTCGTTAGCACATGACCAATTTATAAATTTCATAATAGACGAGGACATGAGAATTGAGTTGAAGCAAAGTAGGTGTACATTTTTAAAGAAACTTCTTCAGTTGGTGATGGAACTTGATTCCATTAAAGTCGCAGATAAACAACTAAAGGCACCATATAGAAGTCACAGGATCATCAGATCGAGTAATATTGAAATATTATGTAGGGAATAACAACTTCCAAAGGTTGTTAGTGAAAGAGAACTAAATGTGGAAAACATAGCCTTTACAACCGTAAGTGTGAGGAACCAAGAGCTCTTAATATACGAAAGAGAAAATATACTAAGGATGAGTCTTTTAGCCCAACTAGATCAAAGGGCTAACCAGACATCGGGAAACAAGAATTACCTAGACTTATGGGGCAAAGCTCAGCTGAGAATACCCAATCTGCCCCTAATGAGATAAGTAGTTCATTATTTTAAGAAACCAGTCCATGAGGCTACTGATTTGGGGAAATGAAGAATGAGAAAGAACTGTTGACCGTTTCTTTAAAGTAATTTCTGACGTTGTTCTTACACATATATCAGAAACTATTTTTTTTTTTTTAGTTAGAGTAAAGTAGCTGTACCTTCCATGTTTACTTTAGTGATTGGTTCGACTCATTTCAAGTTTGATTATTTCTCATGCAATATAGCATATTCAGTTGTTAATACCGGATAGACTGTGAAATTGAAACAAATATTAAAAACCAACAACATTAGTTTGAAGTCCTTACAAAAAACAAAAAATAGGAAGTGCTTTTAGGGGTCTAATAATTTATATTGTTTATTGGGATATTTTAAGAATATTTTACACAGTAAACTAACGATAGTATCTTACCTACAGGCTAGGTTAGAGAGAGACAAAGCTGCAGAAATAGAGCAGTACACAAATAGGTAAGTTAGTCGAGTTTGTCAGTACTTTAAGAAATTCTAACTAGTTTTGGTCATCTGTCACTTCTTTTATTTATCTTGTATTTTATAGAAAAACGTTCTATATGTTATAAAAAATAACCCGTTCTTGTTTAAAACAGTTCAATATTTATCTAAACCATTGAAAATCTTAACGCGAATATTATGCCAAAAAAGTTATAGCCATGGGCGCAAGCTTACTGAAGTGTGTAAACAATTGAAAATATTCAACGATCCTCACACTCCAGTATTAGACGGTTACCTATGTAATAGACATTAATCCTCAAAACTGCAAGAGATCATTTCAAAGCGTATCCCATAATGCCTCAAATGAACAACACCTTTCCTTATATGCGCCCATGGATTTAACTGTATCATTTTAGCAAATTTTTTTTATTTCTCTGATTTTTTCCTCAGTAAAATATTTTTTTTTTTAATTTATATTTCATTAGGTTGTACTCACTTCAACAAGAACACCTTGGGCTCAAGGAGGATGTTATTAAACTAAAAAACCACGTTGATAGACTGAAACAGGTAACAATAATGTTCACGCATTCACCAGAGATAGACATTTATATAAAATACTAGATTTAAAAATGGTAATACCGAAAAATAAAAGTTTAAAAAATGTATAGGAAAGAATGAGATGTATGTATTCAGAACCTTTTAATGCTTAACAGAAGACATATTTTAACAGGTATGTTGGTATTTGTTTAGTTAGAGAACTTGTTACTATTTGTATGTTATACAAAATGAACAAAGGTTACGTAATCAAAGAATAAACATTTTTACGCTTTTATTTTCTCTTAAGAGAAGATAGCTGTAGCAAAGGAAGTAGTTAATTTTTTATTTGATATAACATTTCATTCATCGTGGTTACTTTTAATATTTCATAGGAGAAATCCGCGGTTCAAGAGGAGCTAGCAGAAAGTACTTCACAACTCATCAGTCTTAGAGAAGAGCATCAGAAACTCCTTGAAAGAACAAGAAGAGAACGAGAGGAAATCAATGAGGAGAAAAAAGTCAATTCCCAGGTTTGTATGTGTTTTTCGCACGTTTGATCATCAATCATGGTTCTCATGTTTGTTTTAATTATACACCATACAGTTATTTACTGGAGCAAAGTTCTCGGGTGTGTATTGATTATTGTACATTACAAAGTGTGTTTATTGTGTTATTCCTAAAGTGTGTGCACTTCGTCATTTATTTGTCCAAGTTGAGTGTTTGTCTAGTATCAATACAAGGTGATTTTTCTTTCTAGGGTAGTATTCAGATGAGTCATTTTAGTGTTTCTTACTTATACTGCTGAAACAAAAACAACATATACTCACTGACTTACAATTTTTGTACAAATTATTAAACATTCAAAAAAGTTGTGATTTTTTTTATAATTTATAAGTATTTTAAACGTTTTTAGTTAAATTATTTGGCTGTGCTTGGTAGCTTTTATTAAATGGAAAAAAACTGTGATATTACTCTTATAACTGTTTCTATATTAGAAAGTTACATCATTAGTTTTTTTAATTATAGTATATTATTTCCTAGGTATGTTTGATGATGTATTGTATAATTTTTGAAACATTGTTGTTTTAGAATCATAGTTACAGAACATTTTCTGTAATTCAACCTTTATGACTAAATATATAATTAAACTGTACAATGATTTGTGGAAAAAATAAAGATGTTCTGTTTCTTGCAATAGCTACTTCAACAATATAACATTGAATTAGATGAACTAAGACGGTTCAAACAAGAGAATACCAAGCAACCTCAAACTTCAATACTACTGGAGTTACCTGTTCAATACCAAGAACTGGAAGAAGATATGAGAAAACTCAAGGAGGTAATGGCTTCGTTAGTACCTACAGTAAATCTGCATAGTAGTTTTAGGCCCCAAGATATTTGTCAGAAGAGATCAAATATTGGGTTTTACAATCATTTGAACTCAAGATTTCTCTCTTAGTGTTATTGGATTACTTACGAGTTATTTTTTTCTCAATACCAAAAGCAAGCTACATCAGGATTTATTTTTCTTGAGATTAAAGGATGGTTGAAGTTTTTCTGTTTATGTATGTGTTTCTCAAGGACATAGTCAATTTTAAAAAGCAATATATGAGTTACACTTTAGAAATGTTTTTACTAGAAAATTAATTTAAAAAAAAATGCACATGTTCAGTTAATTTATGAGTACATTAATTCAATTATGTCGGAATATACATCATTTATTGAGAGACAGAATATTTTATGTATACTTAAGTACCATTACCCACAGAATTGTTTTACAAAACATGTATTTTTGGATATTTTTAGGAAAATAAATACCTACTTGAAAGTAATGAGGAGTTACAAGCTCAGATTTTAAACAGCCGTCTGGAACAAGGCCGCACCTTAATTCACCAAGGACAAGAATCTTTAGCAGTTGAATTTGATAATTTGTCCAAAGATCAAGTATGTTTTTTATTTTTAAAGTTTGGAAACCAAAAATAAACATATAAATTATGGATGAAGTCAACAAAACTTTACTGTCACCTTTTAAGCAGTAATGGAAATATTTTAAGGTTTTCAATCAGTTAAAATGTAATTCCCAAAATGCTCAATACAAAAGTAGTGGTAGATGCAAGGAATGACAATACGAGTGTTCTACTGAATGATCATGTTGCATGATTACATGTCCGAGACTTCATGTGAATTTGATTTCTTCAGGTTATGGAAGCTCTTCAGGAGCAAAAGGAAGTAAACACAAAGCTGAGAAGATATATTGATGGGATTCTGTTAAATGTATTAGAACACTACCCTCAACTTTTGGAAGTGAAGCCGTCCAATTCCTACTGAAAGCTTTAGAATTGGTGTGTGAATAGTGATCAGTTGCTACTGTGGTCTATAAACCAATGTTATTGTTTTAAGAGTATGTATGTATTTTAGAAATGAGTTAAAGCATGATAAGGTAAATATTAAGTGTTATCTAATACCCTAATTAAAAATACTAGTAAACAAAGAAGCACTGCTATTTAAATATAACTACTAGTGATGTTGAGCATTGTAGTAGTTCACTTTTTTTTCTTGCCCTTTAACTATCCTGTAAAGTGTTTGAGAGTCATCTTGCATTTATTAAGACGTAATTTTCCTTTTATATCATTTTGCCTAGAGTACTGAGTATGCAACTGGACAGGATACAGATAATAAAATAAGAATTTCATTAACTTAGTATTTAAAAATTTGGTAGTTTCTAAAGAATACAAGTTATCAGGAAGTTAGTTAATTATTAAACCTCTAAAGCAGCATTTCCCAACTGGTGGTTCATGAAAACCTATGGGTTTGAGATAATTCTGAGAGGTTCCTGAGAAACACTTGGCAATGGCATCTTTTTCACTTTCCTAGTTCTACAGTTTTTGCCAATATTTTAATTTCCTTCTAATTTATTAAAATATTTATGGAAGGAAATAGCTTGATGTAGAGCCAGATTTAAGACTATATTTCTCTTCTTTTGAGCTGAATTTAAACACTGTATTCTTCAAACCAAGTTCAGAAGTCTCGTTAGGTTTTGTTTTCAATTTTTTTATTATGTTTAAGGAATTATATTTCACCTTTACTGGGTACTAACTGCAAACTGATGACAGTATCAGATTCGGATTTTATTGCAAATATGTTACATACTATGTGTTACATAAACTTTTTATTTTCAATGAATTCAACATGTTCAAAAGCTATTTTAATTTAAAAAAATTATTATTGTGTAAAAGGGATTCACTGCAAAAACTATTATTACTCAAAGAGTTTATGAAGAGAAAAAGGTTGGGAACCATTGCTCTAGCACTTGTAGCTTATTTGAATGTCAGGTATGTTATGTAACTTTTGGGTTAAATGCTTATGAAGAGCATTTTTTAGAGAAAGGGTATGTAACTTAGCTTATAAGGATATTTCAGATAATTAAAATAACATAGTTTACTGTATATATTTTGAATATGCATTTTAACATCAAAATAAGACTTTTGGGACACCACGGAGATTAAATTAATAAATTGCTTATCTAAATCTTAGGACGGGTTGTTTATGGTAATGATGGGGCACTTTATTAAAATACCATGCAAATTAAGTGTACATCTCAGACTGAATGCATGCAAGTCTTGGCACAACAAAGTTTTTAGTCAATTACATCAGCTGGATAAAACTTTATGAATTTCAGACCCTTCACTGTTGTTAAGAGCTTAGCACAATGCTGTAAAACTTCTGTATTTATCAGGAAGATGACAGAAATACTTCACAACTTTTGAAAAACCCAGTTTTTCTGGACATGAAGACATTTTTTTATCATAACATTATTGAGATTTAATATAAAGAATAAGACCAAAATAATGTCATTTATTTGGATTTTATTAAGATATCATTCTAATTGTGTGGGAGTTGTACATGCCAACATTTTACTGACATTGTTACTATACAAGTTTTTTGTGACTCTCAGTCAGCATAAATATCACACTACTTCTGTGTAACTTTGATACAATCAGGATGTGTGAAAATTCATTACTAGTATATGATTTCTAAAAACAAACAAAAAAAAGATTATAATTACATTAAGAAAGTATACAAGTTAATGGAATATTCAGCTATTGGCACTAGATTTCCGAGAAAACATGCAATTCACTACTAAGTTAATTAACAGTCATTAAAATTTGAAACATTCTCTTTTTATCAGCACATTAACACAATTTTTAAATCGTGGAAAAGAATGTTTATTAGGAGATTACACTAATAGTTTTATGTTTGAAAATGTCACAACGTGTCCTTGTTGCTTTATGATGTATGTACATTGTAATTTTGTCATGCAAGTAACGATATTGATATAAATAATCAAAATGTTATCACACAGAAAAGAAACTAGTGTGTGTTACTATATGTGAATTTTAAAAGTCAGCACATTAAAGACTACATGAGAAATTTGACTTTTACTGACTCATAATCCCCAAACAAGATAGTGAGTACTCTTCTCTCACATTGGATCCCTGGGATTTGTAACTCCTTGGATGAAACATTTAATGATTTATGGTGTGGAATGGGGCCCTGTTCTCTTAAATTGACTGGAGCCAACTCTCATGAACTTCCTTTAAATGGGTTTTCATTAAATGCTGAGTTTAAGTAAGTGGACCACTTTTATTTAGCAATCTAGATCATTGAAAATATTACACAATGTGTAGCAAGAAGAATCACGTTTTGAGGAAACTGTGTCTTTTAAGGACTTATAGAAGTTAACAGTTATACTATTTGAGAATGTGCACCTAGCAATGATCAGAGTTAAGACTGTTGGAGAACCCAATGTGCTGTTATGATAATTTCATATTAAAGTCAGAATTTCTAAAACCCTGGAATATTTAATTTATAAACTGCTACATGTGTATTGTTGTGAAGTTTCAAATTTAAAAAAATAAATAATATTACAAGTTATGTACATTGAAAGAAATGATAAAGATATTAACATTCAATTTTAAATTCTTTTGTACTGGACATGTTTTTAAACATTTATTAAGTATTACTCAGAGAAAATTTAGTTAGAGTGAGATAACTGGAAACAAATACAATTTTAAGTAATTAACTTTATTAATAAGACCTAGTGTTGTGTTTGAATTCCACATCAAATTCTACATTGTGCTTAAAGTTGTTTTTATGGATTATTTTTACTTTATGCAGACAAAGTTTTATACATATTAAATCACTAAACTTGACATGAATCTTAAAACTTGTAAAGCTTCACTTTCTTTCTTTCAAACCTTTAAGGGCTGTTTTAACATGAAACTTAATATAACCGCTGTTGCTTTCAATATAATAATGTTTCTAGAGTTACCAGTAAAATCCAACATTGTTCAACAATATATGTATATATATCACCAACTATTGTAAGGTCTGAAACAGTGCCACATTTTTCTATTTCAATGATACAATAAAACAGTTGCAGAAAGTCTGGCACCATACTACTGGAAAATTGAAAACTATGCTAAATTTTGCATATGTTAGATTTTTCATTCTCTTAAAATGAAATATGGAAAATGTAAATTTCCTATTTTTATATGAAATTTAGGGTGGAGGTTGTTAATGTTCATCTATTCACATTGAATTATGACAGTAAATTATATCTTTGGGAACTACTTTACACTTATGTACAGTCAAGCACTCTTGTTTAACTGTTTGTTACTAAGAGTTGTCAATAAGCTATGTCCAGGTAAAAGTTAAGCACCTTTATACCTCTTACAACAAGTCAGCATATTGCTTGCTTAGTCTAAACCACCCAAGTAATAAAATTTGTTTCCATTTAACACAATAACTTATTGAAATTTAGAATTTTTTCTTTTGGAAAATATTGTTTAGTGGTATTTAAATTTCAATACTATAACTTATTACTGTGATCTAAATGTGTAACTTACATTATAGTAACAAACTGCATACCTTTTTTGATTGAAAAGAAAAAGAATGGTGAAGTAAAAAAAGATCTCAACTTTTCCACATTTTGTAAAATCCTGTAAGATGTGTATGTATAATAATCAAACCTTGAACTTTGTCCAATCACTGAACTTTTTAATTCGGCTCAGCCAGTTCTAATTTTTACAAAATGGACTGCTACAGAATCTATGCTACAAGATTTAGAAATCAATCTATGGAGTTTTTTGCTGATATTGTGCCCAAGGATGTTGAGGTATTTCAACATAAGTATTTTTTAACCACTGCTTATAGTACAAGTTATACACACGGAAGCCTTCTTTAACATATTTCTTCGTGTATGGTAATGGTACCTTTTCTCCTCGGTCCTGAAAAACACACCAAAAGTTAGAATATAATACTAAGAAGTTGCTAGTAAAGCTTAATATCATGGAAAGAAAAAGACAACCAGATAGAAAATGTTCTAATTTCTTCAAATGACTGTACAGTAAGTTATTTTAACTTTTTAATGTGTCCTTATAAAATTTGTTCATAAATTACAGAAATGGAAATAATTATGCAAATACACAAGTGATACAAACAATGAGTAACTGCAAGTAAATGGTCAATTTATCATTAGTTATATTACAAAACATTACTACTTCATAGTTGTTTCAAACAAAGCAGTGCACGTTATTTTCATGCTACGTAAGTTTATGAATGTATGTACTCCCTACAACTCAGTCAAGTTATTTGTTGCCACTTGACTTTATCAATTTCCATATAACCTATACAACCTTAATGATATTCATAACAAAACTTCTTGCAGGCTGAGCCATGGTTTTGAGTGTTTCATTGGCTCTTTTTTCCTCCCAGGTATCATCTCAACATACTTACTACATGGTTGAGATCACTGTCTCAACACTGCTACAAGATGAATTCCTGCCCAACAGGTCTTGTTCCCAAGAGAATGATATGATGGATAAAAACCTGTTTGTATCTATCAGCAGTCAGGATGCCATCAATTTTGTGTCAACCTCCAACATTATGGCTGTGAACCAGCCCACACTTGTACTGTCCCTCCAGTATGCTTCACAGTAGATGTACATTTATTGTGATACCATTCTATTATAGAGTTGGGCAATTAGTAGAATTTGCTAATTAATTAATCAACTATGTGATTACATTTAATTAAATGATTATTCTTACAGGACAGGGTCAACACAATCTGCCAGGCATGCTGCAATCAGTATTGTCATGCTAGAAGATGAATCCTTGCCCAGTAGGTCTTATTCCTGAGGTAATGGCATGATGGACGAAAATCTGTTTGTATTATATTGTGACAATTCATGTACGTAGTCCTTGAACTAGTTGCCCATATTAATCACACTTCCACTGTTCAATCATTTCCATTTCCAGAATTGCTTGTCCATGTTAATGAGGAGAACTTAGTAGATACACCAGTACACAAAATCCTAATTTTGAAATGGTAAACTACAGGGAAAGGAGACAGTCAACAGCATGCACTGGCAAACACTTGAGCTACTTTAATCAAAAAGTGGAACTTGACTGCCACTCTTATAACACATCAATGGCCTCAAAGGAGTATGATTTTACAGCAATGGGGCATGAACCACAGACTCTAGGATTCACAGGCCAATACACTAACCACTAAGTCACACACCCACTAATAGTATTCTGTGGGGCATCAACCACAGACTCTAGGATTCATAGGCCAATACACTAACCACTAAGTCACACACCCACTAATAGTAATCTGTGGGGCATCAACCACAGACTCTAGGATTCACAGGCCAATACACAAACCACTAAGTCACACACCCACTAATAATAATCTGTGGGGTATGAACCACAGACTAGGATTCACAGGCCAATACACTAACCACTAAGTCACACACCCACTAATAATAATCTGTGGGGCATCAACAACAGACTCTAGGATTCACAGGCTAATACACTAAGTCACACACCCACTAATAATAATCTGTGGGGCATCAACCACAGACTAGGATTCACAGGCTAATACACTAAGTCACACACCCACTAATAGTAATCTGTGGGGCATCAACCACAGACTCTAGGATTCACAGGCTAATACACTAAGTCACACACCCACTAATAGTAATCTGTGGGGCATCAACCAACCACAGACTCTAGGATTCATAGGCCAATACACTAACCACTAAGTCACACACCCACTAATAGTAATCTGTGGGGCATGAACCACAGACTCTAGGATTCACAGGCCAATACACTAACCACTAAGTCACACACCCACTAATAATAATCTGTGGGGCATGAACCACAGACTCTAGGGTTCACAGGCCAATACACAAACCACTAAGTCACACACCCACTAATAATAACCTGAAGTGATGAAACACAAACTAATAAGCTGCAGCCATAATGATGACAAAACATAAATAAAAGAGGAGGAAAACAAAGTTGCTGATAGGAAAAGTCTCACAACCAGTAGGTTAAAACATTAGTATAAATTCTATCGATGAGCTTAAACCTGAAAAAAAATCTTTATTTTAGACTTTACCAAATCAAGGGACACCATCAAAGCATGCTCTGTGAAAACCACGTACTTAATGCATTTGAAAGCACAGTCTTAACGGAATGAAATGAAACAGCACAAATGTGGCTGGAAATAGAGAAGCTGAGAGGTAAGAAACAGATTTACAATTGGAATTATTGTTGAAGAAAACTGATCAGAAAGTACTAGGATACACAACTGATGGTTCACTTCAGATAATGGCTAATCGTGAACACACACACTGACAAAGAATATTTCATGAGGCAATGTACATACCATAATACTGACTGGCCAAAAAGGAATTAAAGGTAATTTTTGTCACAGTGTTGAAAGAATAATAATACATATAATTCAGTAGAAATTTGATGCAAATAACGTACATCTACAGAAATCTAAAAGTGATAATACTAAAAACTAAACGTTTAAACACTGAATGCATTAGGATTCTCAGATTTAGTAAACAATACATAGAGTTTGATAATATATATGAACATAGTGGAGTATCTGCCACAACTGAGATAGGTTGTACCTTAGTTATTTAAAGAAATAAGGGGGGGGGGAGAAAGGTTCTAATTGCACGATTTTGTTTTGTAATGGATGTAAGTTGACAAACTGGAATATTATACTTGAATGGTTAATACTGATTAAACCCATTTGTTCTCAAAGAGAAACAGTAATTATTACTGTGCACACAAGTACCTGTAACACGTGCATCATCTGATAAAAGAATTCAGCAGGAGTGCTTTTAACCTGATGTTAAACAGGACACAGTTAAAAAGCATTTCAAATTTTCATAATCTTTCTTCCCCTTAATGCAGTTCCTGCACACACACACATCAAAAAATTAACAGTACATTAAAATCTATGAAAAAACAAACTAAAAAGTATGAAAAATATTTTGTTGGATACAAACAATTAAAAGGAATGTCATCAACAGTGCCTACTGACATTAATTATATTAACAAGTATTTAATGTTATGAAGATAAAGAATCAGAAAAGATGGCACTTTTATGTTTTTTTTATGAAGTTACTTTTTTCCAAACAAGAAGCAAAACTACTGTATTCTTACTTAATGATTTAGAAATATATTTCAACACTTGGAGAAGATAAACACCATATTAAATTTCACAGTATTAGTTTAAAAGTTGTAATAATTCTTTTGGAAATATTTAAATAATTTTATGCATTAGAAAAGAGTTAATTTTAGTGTACAAAAAATAAAATAACTACATTAACATATACAAATAATTCTATGCATTACTAAAGAATTAATTTTACTGTACAAAGAAAACCTTTTAAATTTACATTAACTGTACAAAATCAGTTTCCATAATTCAGCTACTGGTTAATAGAAAATAAACTATAAGTCCAAGAAACCTGAGCTGCAAGGATCTTTCTTGCTTTCTGTCGAATGTATTCTAAACACTTGAGGACAGGAGGATCAGGTTCTACCTCTAAATCTTTCATCTTATTCATAAGTGAGATGAGGTACCAAAAGTCAGGAATAAAAGTGGCATTTCGTACAAGTGATCCAAATATTTCTACATTTGGTCTGAAACCAGCAGCCTGTTAAAAATTGGAAAATAAAAGACAGAGTTATCTGATTTACACATTACACAACTATGGTCATTTATAACTACATACAAACAATGTCTTCAAGCTAAGCTCTTCAATTAAAAGAACAAATGCACACACAAAAATGGGAAGAGCTTAATCAAAAACTATCCTATAAATATAGAGTGCATATAAAAAAGTATACATTTTACAATGTTTATGTACATATTTAAGATCATGATTATAAGAGAATTATAGTACTCAAATGGAAGTATTTTTAACAAAGTGAAAGGAAGCAGAAGTAATATAGAATATAAAAGTTACAAACAAACTTACAAATAACATTAATTTAGTGTTATCCTTTATTCCTGCTAAACGTTTAAAAATAAATCACAAATATTAAGAGAAATGGATGTTGTCTTCTACATCATATGTAACAAAGAGGGCTTACTTTTAAATAAAACAAATGTGAGCTTCAGTTTATACTTTTACATTTTATTTCTAGTGTTTAAGATGCTACCACAATTTATTCAAGTGCAAATAACTGATGTCTCATGAATCTATTTCTATACACAGAAAAAACAACAGCTTTCTATCCTTTTGAGTTGCTACACCTAATTCAGTAACTATAATTTCCAGTTTTGTTTGAGACAGATTTCATTATTCACATTTAATTTTGATTTATGGTTAATGCTAAATTTTTATCACTTTTATGTCAAGCTCCCTTATAGGAAGTCCTTAAAAAGACAAAATATAAAATAACAGAAATAACTATGGAAACATAAGCAAAAAAAGAGTAATGACAATTAGACAGTGAATTTATTAATTGTACAAACATTATTACAGAGAATACAAAAGATATATATATATGCATACATGGCAACAGCATAGGTGGGCTTTAAAAAAGTTCATTATAATTGTCATATAGGCCTAGTTCAAATGTTTTCCTGTTTGGAAATATTCACTAAGGTTATGTTGTATTAAACACTTTACATGAACATTTAAAGGTGGCAGGCAAAAACAATAAACAGTTCATGGCTCAACAGCCCCACCACTTTGTGTACTGGTAATAAAATGCCAAAGTAAGTTACATTTGCAATTATTTTCTTTTTAGTGAAAAAGTTACTTTCAAGTTAAGAAAAAATAATAGTAAGTTCTTAAAGTTTCTTGCATATTTGGTTTCTTAATCTAAACAGTAATTTCCATATTAGTAATATTATATTTAACTTTAGTATTGACCAATTAGACCAACTCAGTTTTTAAGTTTCTTTTAACTGATGCCAATATGCAAATCAGTTACTTTGGATATTTGTAAAAATGACATTTCTTCGCATGAAAGAATCATTGGTAAAACTGGTTTATACATTCTATTGTTTTCATTAGTTCTTTTATTGCTGCTGTAATCAAGTATCTTCCCAGTTTGATGAAAGATGGACGTCTGGGACTGACATAAAGAAAATGAGCCTCCAATACAGGAAAGATAGAGAATTCAAGAAAGCCAGGAGGTTGAAGAAGTGGAAACCACAACTATTCTGGCAAAAAGAGGGTCAATGAGAAAAACCTAGCAAAAGGTGCTATGCTATGATTAAAAAAAAGCATCCTGGGAAGAAATTGAAGATGAGGATAGGTATACAGAAAGAGGGTGGAGCAATCCAGACTTAGAGGTAATATTGGTAGGGAGAACCATGGATTCTGGGAATAGTGACCAAAAAAGTGAAAGTTTAGTGTAGAGGGGAGTCATAAATGCATAGATAAGAGGATTCCCAAATTGAGAACAAATCCACAGAAACACCAGAATATGTCAGGACCACTCTGTTGGAAAGACTTGGTCTAGTGAGACAGCAGATCTCCTACTAAATTTTAATATCCCAGAACATGGAAGGCCAACAACTGGATGTTGTTGTCATGAGCCCAAAAGATAAGCTTAGGAACAAGAAGATGTGAGAAATTATAGTGGAGTTGTCAGAATAGATCAAAACAGGATATCTAGACAACTGTTATGAAATATTGTAGTAGGCCCATTAAACTACTTGAACTGCCCCCATATCAAAGACATTGATGTGGAAAGACTGTTCAGCAGAACTAAAAACATTGAAAATGGTGGAAGTATCTAAAACTGCATCAACATGGCTGGAGGTGTACATGAGGTCTGTGTAGAGTGGTGGAATAAGAATATTCAGAGGTTGTGAATATTCAAAACAGTGAGAGGCTAATAAATGGTAGTAGAGAAAGGGAAACAGAAGAAAACATCCAGAGAGGTGAAAGTCCCTAAAAGGGAGAAAAGGAGACATGAGAGCCTTATAAACCAAAAGCTTCATATCTCATAAATCTAAAGGAGAAGGTTGAGCTCATCCATCAAATATGGTGATAAAGACTTCCAGATGAATCAGATACTGTACAGGAATCAATACTGACAGAGGAAACTGACTTGCCAAATCAAATAAACAGACTCTTGAAGGAGAAGAGAGTTCATAGCAGATGATGTCCCTTAGGCCAGGGCTAGGAGGTGACATACGTCTATACAATGGAGGTATATGCAGACCCTGAGTGCATTCTCCACGTGAAAACTCTCACAATTTTGTTGAAAATCGACAGATGTGAGTCTTGAAAGACAAAGAAAACTCCCAAGAGAAAATCTATATGATCCAAGGATTTGTTTACAAAGTTAGTCAACAGGTGGACAAAGTGTAAGTGGCAAGCTCCCACAGGACCAAAGTGAAGGGGTGGCTTCAGAAACAACAGATTTATGACTGTTAGTAGTTTAATGAGTATATCAGAATTATGACTATTGGTAGTTTCAAGGATAAATCAGCATCATCATTGTTGATAGTTTAAAGAGTATTCCAGCATTGTGAATGTTCATAATTCAAATGATATATATAAGCATTATGACTTGGTAGTTTAATGAGTATCCAAGCATTATGACTGTAAGCCAGTTGTAGTCATACAAATCCATTAAATTTTTTTTTATTGCCTTATAAACATGACTTATTTCACCATATATTCTGCAAACAAGCATTGAATGTTAGTATGGTATTGAAATTTATTATTCCGATTTAAAAGTATAGTCTTGCTTTGTGATTTCAAATTTACTGTCATTTAGCATAAATAGATTTATATCTGACAAACAGAGAGCTTTACTAAAGAGAAAATACCAAAAATCATAACGAGTAACATTTTCCACTAAAACTTAAAACTCACTATGCTAAGCAAAACAGGTTAATCACATACAAAGCTTTCATTTGGTTTAACTTACCTTTCAAACATCTCAATCTTTTGTTATTGTTTTGTATTGAAACTGGAAACACTATAATATCATTACCCAAGTTATTTTTCTACATTGCAGAAAAATAAAAATTAATTTAAACAATAATACAAAACTCATTACCACTTAAATATTTATGTGAAATATAAAAGTACATATTGAATAAGGTTATAGTAAGTGACAGTCTAATACCTTCTTTTATTCTTTGTTTTTCCATTCTGTTATACAATCTGTTTGATGTGAAATCTGTTTTGTTTGTTCTACTGGAAGGTTGTGTTTTCAAACTTTTAGTTTTAAATGCACATTAGTACTGTAGTACTATTATATATATTTTTATAGATCCAAACATTTATTCTCAGTAGCATATAATGTATAGATCTTACCTCCATTTCTTCTAAAAGTTGGAGACCCAAATTTTTTGTTTTGCATCCCAAGGCCAAAACTCCAAAAGTCACAATATCTGGATACAATCCATACTTGCGAATGAGTGATAATACTTCCTGCCAAATCACAAAAAAAGTTATTACATAATTTTATGTATGAAACAGATACAGAACTAAAATAAATTAATTTACAAAAATAATTACATTTATACACCAATATTTTACTGTCAAATAAGTTGCTGGCAATTTCTTAACGTTGATATCTGTGAAAATAGATTTAATAAAAAATGATACTAGGTAAAGAGTTGATAAACAACAGTTTCTAGAAATCTAACAATGGCAGCCTTTACAGTTTTTAATAGTATGGTGAAGCAAGGCTTTGAGGGAAGAAGAATGATACACAATAAAATATAGCTTTTGGCAAATGTTAAATGATGAGAACAGGGGTTCTCCAAATTTCTAATCTATAGGATCACCCCCTGTATATTCTGCATCCTTATTAATTAATTTAATTAAAATACCGTCAATAGTTCTTTTGTAAATGTTTGTTTTAATTTAAACTAATGATTAGTTTTTTAAATTATACTGTACATAACAAACTTGTGTAATATTACTTGAAATGCTGTTAATCACTACAAATAGAATTTATTTATTATAAATTAACTTATTCAAGTTTTAATTATAATAATTGGCTTGTCTCTATTATTATTAATAATTAACTAGAGAATCAGGAGTATACACAGGGCTGAGTATATTGTATTATAACTATTCTGAATAAGCAAATAATGTAACAACCATAGCTGATATAAAAGTGTGGTGGAAAGGCATACATCAAAACTATATTTTGCCTTTTTTTTATAGGTATCTTGATGCCACCAAAAATTTATAACTTTTGGGAAAGGTACATAACAGCCTTTTTTGACACACAAAATTCACACTCAGATTGTAAAGATGTGTTAAGATCTTGGATTTAGAATTCATAATATGGGGTTATCCTTTGTAATCAATTACAGTGTAAAAACAAAGGAATATGGATGGACTTGGGGCATCAGGGCCATTCACAAAGGGACTTGCAACAAGTTGTATCCTAGCCATGGTAAGCAGTGTGTGGCATTTTGTCATAGGAGAAAATCCCTAAGCATGAAGTTCAGCAATAAAAGCCATCCAAGTGTTCCAGTTAATAGTATGCAACACCAACAAGAAGGATTTTAATCTGGAAATGAGGACAAAAGAGTATGGATTCACCAAGATAAGGCTTCCAGTCATACCTTTTGCTCAACAGTCACATATCTCAAGCAGCGGAAGAATGAATTGGGTATTCATGATATTTCATATGAAAGTTGTTGGACATATTGCCTATAGATTTCTTGCAAATTGACTGATTAAAGGGCTAATGGAAAACCACTGTTTTTGTATAATTAATAGATTATGGAAAAGTAGGAAGGAGTGGTGTGCTTTGGACATGACAACCTTTTGGAAGATAAACTAAGTTGCAGGATTGTTAAGATGCATGGTCATCATAAAGCATTACTGCACATGGCTGCAAGGACTTAATGAGGCTCCAAAACTTTAATATGACATACTCAACCTCTGTACCTGTACTTCAGACAGATGTGTTTTACAAGAAAACCCTTCTTCATTGTCAAAAGCACTATTTTATAATTCAATCTGTCTAAATGAGCTAGCTGTTAACCCTTTTGCAATGGGCTCAGTATAATATTTGAGTTAAGTATTTATACTATAACTTTTAATGCAGTAAGTGTATCTTCACAAAATTTGGTAGACTTTCAGTAAAGATTACAAGTCTTTTGTTCACAAAAAATCAGATTTTTTAATGATGTATTTTTTATTAGGGATTTGTTTGTGAAAAATATCAAGTTTGTTTCGTTACCAGTCCAACTGCAAAGTGATTTTCATGTTACAACTAAAAAACTATTATTCATCCCAAAG